GAAAAAAAAAAAAGAAAACAGATAAAGACACCAAAAGCCACCACATTATAACACACCCATGGCAGCTTTTCACAAACATATGTGAGGACATATTTGACAACGTATTCTAAGAGAAATGAGGGATCTATAACTGCATTTATCTGCATAAATACTGCAAATTACTCAATACCTCTATCCAACAGACTTAAATCTAATTGAACACTAAACAACACACGCTATAGTGTCTTACTGACTTACTATCCACCACAGACAACAAATCACACTAATAGAGAACACAACACATTCAATTAGTATTGAAAGCTTGAATTTTGGTCCTTCACATGATCATAATTAAGGTTTTCATCTGAGTTAATCAGAGCAGCTATAGTCCCAACCGGTCTGCCACAAAAGTAAAACCATTGACCTACTTATATTGTCCCGAGCCTCAGCCACCATGGGCTGAGTCTCATATGTTTGCTGCCCGAGTTCTCTCGTAGTGGTCTCGTACCAGTTCACCCGTCAGCGTGCGTTCAGGTTCAACCATGTCCAGCGCTTAGAAACTCCGCCTGTCTTCTCACTTACATTGTTTTCGCAAAAAATTGTTCCGTGTCTTCTCATGAAAAAATCTGAGCAGAAGCACATCGTCTTCTTTGTTGAGAAAATTCCGACCACGCAGCAAATTTCTCCCGCCGAACAACATCCCCTAGGCACAGCCCGACCAGCGTTCAGCCGGGGCGCAACTCTCAGCCGTCCGAGAGCACCAACCGCCATGTCCCGTTCAGTTTGTCCGGTGGCGTCAAGCCGCTCACCAGTCCTACCACCGTCAATGACCCCTCTAGACGGAGCCTGGCCGCGAACCGCCTCGTGTAGCCACTTCGGTCGAAGTTCTGGCCGCTTAGGCTTCCAATCTCTGTTGACCCTAGGCTGGGCAAATTGCAGCCTCACACCGTAAATTTCAGCCTTTGTAAACGATGATCAATCACAAAAACCAGGAGTAATATGCTTCCCACACACACAGAGAGAAATGGGCACAAAAACTTGACTGTAGTATAATAAAAACATAAAGGTCTTTGTAATATTCACTTGACACCCAAAAGAGGACATGAAGTTGCATCACACTCATTTAATATTCAGTTGACACCCAAATTTGAAACCACGGACTTTAACAGTAAAATTAAAATGGCCTCAAGATCAATTGGTCACTCACCATTCGAAATTTGCTTAGTACGCCCTGTCTCTCTATCAGTTTTATCAGATATTTCCTTTCGCACGGCAGCTGCAAAAATTAAAATAGAGGTTTAGCAACTAATTGAAATTAAAGTAACCTAATTTTATTTTATTTTTTTTTCAAAACGATAGGAAGAAATTGAAGTAACCTAATTAAAGCTAAAGAAATGCAACAAAAGACACTGAAAAATATTTCATTTAGCTGTTAAAGTAACTGCTTGGAGCGAGCTCGGCCCCCCAATCGCCGAAGTTTCGACTCACTTTATCCGGCAATCGAGTTTTTTCTCTCCATAAACTCGGCATTCCGTCGAAAACACCGTCAAATTTATAACGTCGACTCATCCTCTCCGCAATTCAGGCTGCAACTTGGCGGTGACAACGTCGGCTCCTGCAGAGCTCTTGCTCTCCATGATCGCAGCCACGGTCACTTACTCTTTTAGTTTTCATATGGGAAGTGTGAAGAGACATGTATTTGATTTATTGTATTCCCAAATCATTGATTGTACTAAAATTTATTATTAATATGGAATGTTGTGGATTTTAATTGTAATCATGTCGATATATATTAAGAGAAGATTTTTACCTATATTAAAATTAGTAGACAAATATGTTTCCATAATCCATTAAAATTATCTTAAAATAAATCAAAAAAAAAATTGAAATTTGAAATTAAAGCATTATTGGCGGGAGTTTTCGAAAAAATTACCCAGATTAGCAATATTAAAAATTTTAGGCGGGAAAATAGTTACTTTTTCAGGTAAATACCAAACCTTTTTATATTTATATAGATTACAACTATGTAATTGTGTTTTGACCAATTATTAATATTTGACTTCATCATGTCCATGGATATCATTGATCCAATGGTACAAACTCATTCTTATTTTTTTCTCTATCTATCATTCTCATATGATTCCTTATATATATATAAAGTATTTAAATTTTCAACTAATTTTTCTCATTAATTTTAAATTTAAAAAAAAAAATTAACAAAAACTCATGTAATACAGGAAACGTTGTACAAGTAATTAATACAACCTGCCAAAGCCAACCCAAACTCTCAAATAATTATCCTTATATTATAATATACAAGAGGACAAAGCTTGGAATTCGGAAAATATATTTTACTTAACCTGAAGCATATGCATATGATGGCTAGGAACAGAAGCTTCGTTCAATCTTACACGTTAAATTAAAGCGTTGGAAACAAAATCAAGTGGCTGACAATTTTTAATTAATTTAATTAATGATCCCTATATCATCATTCCCACGGTTGATGTCAGTTTTCATATATTTTTTTAAGTACTATTTATCATTTATGCCGTATTAATACTTTAGGCTAATATGAGTCAATTACCCCCAATATTATACATCTTTTATCTTTTTTGGTACAGGGACCTTCCGGTTTCCGGATCTACAGAGGAACCGATTAATCCGGAACCGAGCCGGGTAGAACCACAAGGACGGCAAAACTCTACATCTTTATCTTTATCTAACAATAACCCCTGCAATCGTATTAGAGCCCTTAAAATCAGCTTAGAGGCCATATGACACCACGATTTTTGTGTAGATGGTTATTGAAGGCACTTAGAACTATCGTATAACATTTACGCAGTTGCGAAGTTACTCACATTTAAAGCAATTAGATTGCGTAGGGGGCGCTTAAGCGTCTTGGCAGCATCTAGCGGCGATAGTCTATCACCGTACAAGCGTTTAACGACATTAAGAATATTAGTTATAGTACGAATGTTGAACTTAAAATAGCAAACGAGGCAAAAACTCAACCACATTATGCATCATTGTCATACTATGATTGTACCATGCATGTAATAGATACTCTACATATATAGGATGTAAAAGATGTACAAATACTGTGATTGTACCATGTAATAGTCACTATATATACATAGGATATAAAAGGATAGACATAAATTTTCGTATGAACCCGTATATTATATATAGCTGTTACGTAGGTTGCGTGTAGCAGTTAGATAGGTTGATCATTTATATTTTTTTCTTAATAAATAAAAATGTTGTCTGGTACTATAAAATATTAAATTGTTATTTTTGTTATTTTCTAGAGTACGAAATTTTAATTTCAACATGCATATCTATGAGAATTTATAATCATTAGGCCCGGTATTAGTCAGCAATCTTAGTGAGTATGTTTTAGATGTAATTCGAAAAACTAAAACCTCTGATTTACTTGGTGAAAAGAGCTATTGTTATAAGATTTATAAAATAGAGAGATACTACGGTCTTGTTACAGAATGATTCTGTTGAAGTTTGTAACTGTTATATCATCATATACTCGTAGGAGAAAATTGATTTATCGATTACAAACCTCGACGAAATGGTTCCGTAACAGACCGCAACATTTTCTCTACAAAATAACAAAATTTGACTTTCAACGCTAAGCGTAACGCGGCTGTGACCCCCAGCTCAATGACAAACACATCAAAAACAAAGTGCGTGAC